AAACACTCTCCACAGCAGCCAGAGAGACCTGCTCTAAGCTAGGAGAATAGCCAGTAATATTTATTCTCTCTGAAACCATTTGCTCTCTCAGCCAGCAGACCTAAGACCACGGTTGAAATATAGAAATTCCTTTTTGGATTCAAAAATTTCAAGGAAGAAAAAAAAGAAAAAAAAAAAAAAAAGCCACTACAGCAAAGCTGAAGTTGTACAGTCCCTTTAGACAATATGGTGCTTCAGCACCTGGAGAAAAAACCCTTGATTTGGCACATTGATTCTGATCCAGGTCCAGATTCTACACCTGGAAACAGAAGGAAACTCCACAGAGCACTACAGAGGAGCCTGGGAGGGAACCTGCCTTTGGCTGATGACAGATAGCAACCACAGAGCCTTTCCAGGACAATTTCATGTTTCTTCCTGTTGAGTGGGAAGCTTTGTAGATCCTGATAACAGGAGACATGAGACACACACAGGGACACGCCTCAACCACTCTGAAGTCAGAGTGTCCTTCCGCTTTGTGACTGAAAACTGAAGTCCTTTCCGACAGAAGGCTCCAAATGAAGGACAAGAGAAACTAATTTTTCAGTGTAGCCCAGTGTAACAAAGTCTCTGGAAACCCTTACAGTCCAAGTATGTGTTCCAAAGTTTTGCTGCACGTCAGAGGGTCCACGCCTCTGCTGCCAGCTCTACACCTACTCCATGAAGCAGAAGGCCCTGGGAGGACTGAATAGAGAGTGTGCTGGCTGAGGTCCCCCAACGGAAACATCTACCATAACCTTTGGTGAATAGTGCCTTGCTGTTATCCAAGTTGCCTTAAATTCACCTTCCAGTGCAGCTATGTTAATGTACAATTCTAATAAAATACTTTACTCAGACATCTAGTTTCAGCAAAGCGGTTACAGAAGCTTGTGAAAGACAGAAGTGAAAAAAATAAAAGAAAACCACAGTTAAAACACTTAGACTAAAAATAACCAGAAAGTTCTTTCTTATTCTCTTATCGCTCTGAAGTGATACCCTCTCCTGGCAGGGTGCTACACAGAGCTTCCTTCTCCAAGCATACCTTATGTCTTGCTGCATCTATTAAGGAGAACCCTCCATAAGAAAGTCTGTATCACAGTGTACACTCATTGGACAGCTCCGGGAAGCTCCTTTGCTGGGGAGGGCTCCTTCCCAAGCCCTTTGAAGGAGGTTCAGACAGATTTAATCTTGCTCTGAATCTCACAGTACTTATTCTTTGTCCAGGAGATAGTTTGGCCATTTTTCTTCATTAAAATAAAGACTGCTTCACTCCCTTGGAGATGCAAATATTTCTTCCTCGAATAGGTGGGACCTACTCTGTTTGACTCACTGATTAACACTTTGTTGCCTCAGGAATTTCCCTTCCCTCTAGTCACTCACTGGCATGTTTAACTACGTAATATATCTTACACAGGATCTTGTATTTTGAAACAGTCTGTGCATTATCAAGTATACTTGTTGCATCCATCTATATGGAATTAATACATATAGAACACTGCTGGCATTTGGCTGAGACCAGGCACAACACTAGTTGGGTGGGTAATCTCTAACATCTTTCTCTTATAGGCAAATTCAACATCCAGATTCTGCTGGGCTGCACGGACAGATCCCTGAGCTGTTCCTTCCCATGCTATGCCATATTCTAAAAAAGCCTACATTTCACCAGCCCCCTGAAGCTGGACCTCTCTCCAGCAAGAAGTCATCAATATGGTTTGTCAGGATGCGCTGTGTCCTAGCAAGACAAGAGCTCATGCACTTCCCAGGAGGCACTACTGCCATCAGTACCTGAAGCAGCATTCCCTGACCCCTCACAGGCTCCTGCTGCATGTGTGCGGGATGAGACAAAGCATCATTTCAGACTGCCTCAGCTGTGGAATCAGAAGGGAAAGACCATGGGACAGCAATGTGCACAGAGTCTGCAGCATTTCCTCATGGGTTAGCAGTGTTCCTTCTATTTCAGCTGAGACCAAATGTACATTCTAGCTACGGCTGTTACCCCTACAGTGGTTTTACAGCAAGTCAACGTGCAGTCAGCCAGCCACTTTGTAAGACTCTGTGTGAAAGCTGCTAAACACCCAGACTTCACCACTGTACAAAAAAAAGAGAGAATTTTTGAAGATTCCGCAGGAGGTCTTCAAACACTTCCCGATCATCTCTCTCAGTAAAGAGATGACTGGTCCCTAGGAGATCTGAGCAATGGTCACAACCTTACAAACTAAGAGTTTTGCATCAACTGCTGTTGGTGGATAATGGTGACCAGAAGACCTTTAACTACATGGATCAGACTGCAGGCCAACCAGCTAGCTTCCACTGACCTCTGAGCCACCATGATTGTGCACTACACAGTGACATCTCTCTAAAATGCTCCAGCATACTTTCATCATCTGCTGACAGCTACGATAAAGACAGAGCAAACTAGGAGTACATCTACACAAATAAGACCTTGATGGAAAAGAGACCTAGCTCCTGCTGCTGAAACAATGGTGCTACGGAGGCGAAGCAGGAAGGAGGCCCATGAAATCCTGTGACAGAGACGTACGCTGGCACCACGTCCCCATGACAATTGCTGTCAGTGTTTATCTTGATACTCCCAGCAGCAGCTGCAGCAATGACAGGACAAATAAGCAGTTAAGACAAGTCAGCAAGTGCAGTCAGTGAGCCGTCCAGCCTACGAGACTTGTGCTAAATATTACCCACGCCAATGCAGCTCTACCACAGGAAAGATGGGGAGTGCAGTTTTACAGGACATTGTCTTTGACTTACCACATGGCTCAAAGCCAAAGAATAATTCCTGAGTGTCAAGGTGCAATCCCACTGTTAGACAGCAAGCCTCGCACGGCAAACGTGACTATATGGTGACTGCGCGGCTCAGCAGGTCCAACTCTGCAGCACAGTCAAGGAAGAAAGTGCGTATCTGACATGAGACTGGACAATTTGCCTGTGGATCGTCCTGTACTACCAGTTCTTGCAGGGACAAAGGTCAGAGCCAATTAGTCAGATTAAATCAAAACAGTGTCCAGAGAGCAGCTCATGCCAGGGCTGGATGAGGCTTCATCACACACGTCAACAGAAAGTCCTGGAGGTTGCATTCAGCCTCTGCTTTGTCTGAGGCCTAGATGACACCACAGGTGACACTTCTTTGGCACATAATCCACTCTGAGAAAGCACAGGCATTTAGGATGTGAATCTGATAGTTCAATATAGCCCAACTAGAGCAAAAATACTCCCAAGCAATATCATCAAACTGATAAGCCAGCAAAAAGCAGTATCTCCACAGCTAGAAGACTTTCAGGCAGCCGCATATTCTAACCGAGCAGTCTGAGAGAAACTGAGCTTACCAGCAACACCAGCTAAGCCAGAGGAGTGGAGGGGCCAGGCTTCCCCTGTACCTGCTGCAGGAGAATCCTGTTGTCTCACAAAAGGCTACAGCCCTCATGGAAGCTGTGGGAGGCTCAGAAATGCATGATTCTTGAGTCCAGCACAAGAAACAAGAGCAAGCCTAACTTCAAAGCCAGTTAGGCTTAGGACTACTCTGGTGAGGAGCCTCTCATCTAAACAGAACTTGAATAAGTGCTCCTTAAAGCAAGGACCAGAACACAGAAATCCCTAGAGAAAATCGCTTTCCTGATTTCTGACCTGGACATACCAAGCAGGATGTGGCTATTGGCCCTTGTTACATTGTCTGTAACTTTTGTGAGGAAAGTAAAAAGCTGTCTGACATTATGGAGAAACTGAGTCCAGGCCATCAACTTTCCTGGGGTAAGGTTCCTGTGATAAAAGCTTTTACTACATGAAAACCATGCTCTACCTCTTACTGGTTTCATCTGACCTCAACCCAGTGTCTGTGAGTAAGGGTCATCGTGGCTCAGGACTGAATTTAATCACCTCCTCATCCACTTGTGAATTGCACTGGGGACAGGGTATCTAACTCTCACTGATCTCCCCAGCCATAAAGGAGATGCTGCCCATGAGCCAGAGCAGACTATGCTTGAAAATGAAGACAGTGTTTAATAGTGATGTGCCTTCTGGAAGGTCCTATGACACATCAGCACATAAAACTCAGGTAAATAATGACTTGGCCAAGTTCTCAGCCAAAGGCTTCTGAAATAAAACACATCAGTCCCTGAATGGACTGTGAGGTGCGTTGTGACTTCCCATAGCTCTCCTCGCACTAGCAGTGAGTCAGAAAGAGGAATGCCAGTGGTCATTCCTGATGGCTTCGACTCCATTGTGAACAATGTGAACTCCTGCTGTCCTTTCTTCCCTTGTCATTCTGTCATTCCTTCTGCTAAAGAAATCTGGTTTTGCTGGTCACAAGTCCCTGTTTTGCAATGCTGTTGTGAGCTCATGATGAGAAAAGCAGGTAGACACAGAGTCTTAGGTAAGCCGGAGGTGGTACAAGTTTGACAGGTCTTGAGCAGCTGATAAGATCATGAGTTAAGTCTGCTTCTCTACTAGCACGACACTGAATAAAACACAGAAATACAGACTGAAAATTCTGTCTTTGATGTTGCACTACCAGTGTTTTTCTTCCCTTGTCTCCATGGGTAAGCTGACTCTGATTTGAGCAACTTTTCAATTAACTATTTCTGTTTTCCCCTAAAGGTGCTTTCTATCAAACTACTTTACATATACGTACATATATAGACATAAATATCTCCAGCTAAAGGGAAAGGAAATAAGGAATGTGCTAAAAATGATATCCTTAAGAGTGTTTTATATTCTGAAACATTTATGGCAGAGGTGTTTCTACTTTCTCTGTTTTCTGTAAAAGCTTTACATGTCTTCTAACGGTCAGAATTAAGATGACAGAGGATCAGAAGACTAAATATTATAATTATTTTCTTTCATGTGGTGGAAGGGTCATATTAATTCCTTTGACTCTGGGTCTACTTTGTCATCAAAATCAACTTGAGAGACAATTCCCTGCAACAGATCTGTACTGCTAGGGTGACACATTTTCTGGAGCCCCCACCCCCACTTACCATTCGTGAAGGTGTTCACGTAGTACCTTCGGCCCTGGGGAGACATATAGCTCTGCCAGCCGGGGGGAAGATGGCCATTCAAGGTATCTTCTCCTGCCTGAGGAGCTGCCTTTCTGGGTTTCTGCTGAGAAAAGAAAAAAACCCCAATCTATTAAGTCAATATCTAGATAATGTAAAGACACACATCTGGAAAGGGACTATGTGGTTTAGCATTCTAGAGATTGCAATACACCCAAAGACTTTCAGTCCATTTCTCCCCTCATCTGTTCTAGCTTCAACCAGAACATGAAGAAACCTTCTTTTGGAGCACTGGGTACATAGAACATCCTTTGGGAGAGAAATGAAACCCCTCTGTATTTGATGTCTCATGAGTACCTGGACCTGTCCAAGAAAATTACTTTCGTTAAGCAGTAAAATGAAAAGCATAGTATAATCAAGTGTCTGAGAAAGGAAGACATGCATCTAGCACTCTTTGATTTCCATGTGGATATGCTGGTGGGTCAAAGCACTGGTCAAAGAGGTGCTTCCCCAACTTAATTTACAGGGGCACCATCACCTTCAGACGTTTTCAAGAAGAAACACTGCAGAGCCAGGTTGCCTACAGGAGTAGCGTGCTGAAGTAAATTTATCAGTATGCTGATTATATACTAAGAATGCATGTAATTAACAATGCATACATTACTGATCTAGACGTAATCTGGATTCACATCATCCAGATACAGAATCATTAGGATCCAGATTCCTAGGAGTGGTCCGGCTCATTAGCAAGCGCAGGAGACGAGCATCATGCTGTCACCTCTCTCCAGGTGCACACAGAACTGCTCTCAGGGTTCAAGTGCCACCTGCACTGCACAGCTCTTCACCACCCCAATTGCAAGCCTCAGTGCAGGTTCAGGGTGCAAGCAAAAGAGATGAAGCTGAAGTGCTAGTAACTGTCCACACTACATTGCATCACCTGGACTATTTCCCTCTTCCAAGTAGCTCTGCTGGTTCCTTGGTAGCTTGGGATTTGCAGCAGCTGCTTGATGTGAGACTGGCAAAGAGGGCTTCATCCCAAAGGAGGCATGAACTTCGTCTGGTCCCTTCAACAGGGAACACTGAGTAAGGCAAAGGTAGAGACACAAGGTGTGTGGCCAAAGATTGCCTGTTGCATCCCTACCGGGCTGTGGCCATGAACCCAACAGCTTCCTCCTGGCTCCCATCTAGAGAGCTCCACTTTGTCTTCCCACATTCCCTAAGGCAAACCAGGCATGCAGTGTATTAATTTTTTTGTTTGTTTGTTTGCATTGCCTTCAAAGGAAGACATACAAAAGAACAAGGAAAAATGTGTGAAATGGAATTATTTATCCCTTGGAAGTTGATGTCTATCCAGGAAATGCGTTCCCACACGGCGGGGGACAGGTCTGAAGTGACTGTATTGAATTCAGAAGTAGCCATGTCCAGGGCCCAGGCAGAGTTTCAGCATCTGGCTGCATATAATGTTCAAACACTGACAGACATATGAACAGAACTGTCAGAAAGAAATGGTGATGTGTCTTTCTCCTACGCATTCAGTCTCTGAGTAAAATTCCAACTCTGTGCCAACCCAGAATAAAATGGACATTTAATGATTTTGAAGCCAAAAGTCTATCTTATATTTCTTTTCAGTTTCAGAAAACTCTGATTACAGTGGATTTCAAGAGGCACTGAACTCGAGAATGATCTTGTGTTTGTGCCTCACCAAGTGCACTTGCACAGACAGGTCACAGGCTGCAAGGCAGCCATACGGACCCAAGGCCAGTGTGAGCTGAATACCGTCGCATCGCTGCAGCACAAATGGAGCCTGTGCTGGTTCAGCTTTTAGCTCCTCTCCTTGAGCAGAGGTACAGCCTGGGAGACTCAGCTGGCCCAACATGAATTGAACAAAATAGCTCGGGAGGTACGAAGGGACTCTGCAGGGTGTATGACTCAAATCTCATGCTCTGCATGCCTATGGCTAGCAGGGTAGTATGCAGAATTAATCAGTAGGATCTCTGCCATCTATTCCTATCCCCTGTGTTTTGGCTTTATAAGGTTTAATCAAATCAATTTACAGTTCCACTCACCCTGCTGTACATGTGAGAAAGTAGAAGCTTTCACAGTTTATGTTGTTATTTTATTTTTTTCTTTGCTGATGTCAGTTTAGGATGCAAGTGAAAACTTCTCTTATACATTAGCATGCCCAAAGGCACATGTCTCATTATTGTTAGTGTTATACCATTGCCTAAAAATGCACTAAATTAAATTCTTGTCTTAGTGAAACTAGCACAACCATGCCTGTTCTGTGATCACAGGGGCAGGACCCCTCCATACGCGCCACCGAAACAACTCTCTGTTTCATATAGCTTCCCTTGAAAGCTCTGAATCTTACCAACGAAAACATTAAACCTCATGAATATTACAGAAAAATTAAGCTACCCCAGTTTTACCTCTGGGTCATCTGAGTTCTCCTGCAACATGATATGAACATTTACAGAAGTGCCTTGTTTCACTGTGCGATGCCACTTCTAACATGGCTCCAACAACCACATACATTTTTCCAATTCTTTACAGCCATGTACTGGCATCACCAGCCTTGCTCACGCAGCCCTGACACCTGCACTATGGCCCCAATATCCAGCATCAACCTTTTGTTTGATTTTACTCTCAGTCAAGACTGAAGATAACTCACTGCAGGCTTCCCAGGCATGACGTCCCTGGAAGCATCACAGTGCTTGTGCAGGTGATGCAGACCAGTGGACGGGTGTATGGCCCTGATACATGCTTTTGTCACATGGACCTTACAAACAAAAGCTGCTTCGTGCAAGCTTCCTTTTAGTCCTGTTCAGTTCCTGTGATGTGCCATGCAGGGGAGCTTCTCCATTTCACATCTCTCTCTGACACCCCTCTCTACAGTTTCACCTAAAACACTGGGAAGAAAAAAGGACCCTTGGAAAGAGTATGTTTAACCAGTGCAGTCACCCCAGTAACCGCAACAATAGCTAAGAAGGTAGCTGGTTGATTTCTGTCTCCAGGACTACCTCCTGTGAGGTTGTCCTTGCACCCTACCCATACACACTCCTTGACCCATACACAGGAAGGTCTGGTGAGAAAGCCAGGGCTGAAAGGCATTCATAGGTTTAGGATCAAGCAACATATGCAGAGAAAATCAGATGAGAAAGGAAAGCATCATAGCCCCAAGCTATTTTCTGAACAACAAAACCCATCTCTCTCCCAGCATATTCCAAGGGACAGTCCACAGCGCTGGGACAAATCCTGGGACAGCTCCTGAACTCTCTCCACCACAGGCACAGGGTTAATGGCCCCCCATTATCATCTGCAAAAGCACATTGAAGAAAAAAGAAATTCTGCAGTGTAGGAGTACACCAGCTCATGAAGAATTTGGCAGCAGGTTGGGTCCCTTAGATTCACTGCACAGATCTCTGGCCTTGAAGACAACAAAGTTGCACCAGACTATCTCTGCTGTGCATGATCACACTATAAAGAGGAATTTGGGATAATCCAAGCCTGGGTTCTGTTTCAGAATCTAGAAGGTACAGAATTTCACACATTTTTACTGCACACTCGCTATTTCTGTCATTAACACCTTCTTTCCCTTCTGGAACTGAAGTCCTATCCATTCCTCATAC